CAATGTCCCCAAATCCTTCCCACATTTTGTCCTCCAAAGCAGGAATCATAGAACAGCTCTCTGTATCTATAAATCTTTGGAAATCCGTACCTGAATAATGTCCTCCATCTCTGTTCTTTTCATAAATCAGATAATCTTCTAAACCTCGTATCCACCAACAAGGCAGTTTCATTGCACATCCCACCATTACAACACAGTTGGACTCCACATGTCTGAGAAAGCCTAGATTTATAAGGTCCACGAGAACCGAGTAACCCTTCTTAAAAGCATCCTCAATACAATCAATAGGACCAAGACAACCTTCCATAATCCAGTGGGCTATCAATTGAGTGAAATTAACAGGACCATTCATGTGAATGTACTGCCAGCTGTGCCAGAAACAATGAATTAGATCATTGGTTGGCATAACTGCATGTGCAATTTGGAGAAAACAAGGAATAATGCTAGAGGCATCAGTAATTGTTGCGACTGCTCCAAACTTTTCTCTCGAAGCCCGATGTTTATATTCCATAATATAATTTAATGCTTCTGCCATAGCCTCAATCTTAGCAGGATTACCCTCACTTTCTTCATGGATACCTCTAAATAGCAGTTTAAAATCTGGATCTCTAACCTTTTCTTGCAAAAGATTGATGGTCTCTGTAGCAGACAAGGGTTCAATCTCCAACACCTTCGCGTAAGGACCATTAGGTTTTCCAGAGTAATCTATGGTGGTCACCAAGACTTTAAATGAAGGCTGCTTAAAATCAGGAACCAAGGATTCAAATTCTGATACAGTTTCATATACTTCCACTCCCTTACAAAATCCATCCAAGATTAGAAGACACCTCTTCTTATCAGTAGCTGCTGATATTTTCTTTTTCAGATTAGCTTCCGCCTGCATCTCCTCATACTCATCGTCATCACCATCGTCATCCGCATCCCACTCCTCAGTTGGAAGACATATAGGCAGCTGAGCAGCAATCCTCTCAAGCGGAGATTCCTTGTCATGTTTTCTGCTCATAGACAGCCAAAAACATAAATCAAACTGACTTTCTTGCTTTACAATATCATGAACCTTTTTCGCCGTCCATGTTTTCCCTATTCCTGGTTTCCCAACAAGACATACTACTTTAACATGGTCATCGCACAGCTCTTTCAGTATGAATCTTACGCGCAAATCCAGTGTGTCCCCGTTATCCATGGCCGATCCTGTTGCAAATTGTTCATATGAGGAAATATCTTCCTGTCATGTACCAGTAAATAAGAAACAAGCAATCACAGAGTCAAGATATACGACGATAAGGTGATTGAAGTTACAGCTTGAGATTATAGGAGTTACGGTAAGAATGGTGGAAGAGAATGTTCCTTAAGATAACTAAGAGGAAAGTTAGTTTCTATATGCAAAAACAATTCAGATCTAAAGCTGTCCAAGATAAATAAGAGAAAATTTCAAGTGTGGTGAATAATCATGAAGAAGAGTGAAGAAAAAAAAAAAAAAAACCTGCAGATTTCGATTGGCTACTCCGAGAGAAGCAATATCAGCTAGCAGGAGCTTCTACTGGGCGAAGATAAAATTATGTGTACTCCGACAAGACAAAGTGGATTAGATCACACCCAATAAAGCAATGTCATTTATATCATTTACTTATATTTTTAAATAAATGGTATATGTTAATATAATTTATTTGTATTTTTAGTTATATAATTAAGTCTTTTAAATTTTTTGTTATGTGAAATTAGATTGAAGAAAATATATATTATGAATTTAAATATTATATTGATTCTAGATTCCGTCTTATTTATTCAAAGCACCGACATGTTTAAGAATATAATTGGTCATAAATATTTTAGTAATCTGGCTCATAAATTTTTACATAATGGATCAAACTTAAATTAAATTAGAGACTTTATAAAGTGAGAGACGATTTAGATAGTAGAAAAACTGTCACTTGAGAGACCATATAAACAAGCGAATAAATATTAATCATGCTACTTAAGTTTACAAAAATATGACCCATTGGGAGAACGTCACTTGAGACTAAGCGCATTTCAACGCAAAAATGGAGGCTAGCAGCTCCTTCGGGATCTAGAGGACAAGACACACTAGAGCTGCTGACCAGCAAGCCCAGGTAACATTATGCTCGACATTATGAAAGTTGTAGTGCTATAAGAAATGCTCTTCATATAAGTCTGTTAGCAGTATTAACTTTTATATTGCATATTCTAATAAGATTTAAACATGACATTTTCTTGCTTTAAGATGTAGATCAGTGAATCTATTTGTATGGTATTAATAATATAAGGAATCGAATAGAATAAGTGCATATGGGAGAATATGCTTAAAAATGATAGGCTTGTGTAGTGGGACGAAACTACTTTACTAGAAGATACGGTACTCATTCTGAAAGAGATTGTCATGTTAATTCTAAAATTTTGAGGGCCTAATAAGAGAAAAACAATAGACTTTAGTTAGAGAACAATCTAGTAATAAATGTTGTACGTTGGAGACACCTAATTATCTACAAAAGTTGCATGTAGAAAAAAGAGAACCAATATTAATTAGATACACACCGAGTAAAATATTGTGCAAGGCTTGCTATCCACAAAAGTTGCATGTAGAAAAAAGAGGACCAATATTAATTAGATACACACCGAGTAAAATATTGTGCAAGGCTTGCCAACATAAGGTTTTATGTTGAGGAAGGAACTTAGTCTTCTATAAGAGATTCCAATGGATAAACTCAGTATAAACTTTCTGTATGTAAGAGTTTAATAACAAGTTATAGCTAGTTTGAGTCATGTAGACCCTTATGGATTTATATTTCCACTGTCATTTGCTCTCTTCTTCTTGTGGAGAAGAAATGAATAGTTTAACAATGAGGTACATATAGAAGGGTGAATATTATTATGATATTAGAGGCATATCCTATATATGTGAGTGGGGATCATTAAAGTAGTTGATTTCAGTAAATAGGGAGTCTTTAAATGGAGAGGAAGTAAAAAAAGTCAGAGAAGGTACCATGGATTCATCTAAGTATAAATGGTTCTACCTGAGTTTATTGATTTATAAATCCCAAAGGACAAAACCCTCTGACTTTCTAAAATTCTTTCCCAAATGAGAGAATTAGAGGAAATTAGAATAGACAGTAGAAGAAAAATTTGTTTAAGATGCTTAGTTATTAATAACTATTCTCAAATTTACGATTGCAATTGTAATAGAAACTGTACAATCTTAGTTAAGAAATGAAGATTATATGAATGGACCAACATAGAGGGTAGTAAAGCTAATGAGATGAGTCAAATTTGCCCCACCAAGATTTCTTAATAATCTATGCTAAGTTTTTTAAGATAAGCTTAGGTATTCTAAAGATAGACATGCGGTATGTTTAGTTAGGACGGTTTGAGAGAGTACTATTCTTCCTGCATAGGACAGTGTGGTGCGCTTCTACGTCTATAAATGGGTTTGAGTATGTTTAAGCAAACATACAAAAGATTAGTATGAAGTAGGCAACCTAAATGCATATTTTTTGCAAGAAGATAAGTCAGTTGGGCATGGTTTCTAACATGGGTTTAGACATGGTGGGATATATTTGGACTCGAAAGAATACGAGATTGATAGTAATTTAAGAACTGACCGGACTACTGGCAATAGGTGCAGAGAACACTTCAGAAAATTCATGAGATTTTGGTGGAAAGTCTTACCGAATAGGACTAAGTCATCTATATACTGGCAATAGGTGCAGAGAACACTTCAAAAAATTCATGAGATTTTGGTGGAAAGTCTTACCGAATAGGACTAAATCATCTATATAAAATAGATGGGTGATTGATGGGGCTTGACATTAATTTTAAGACCTTGATCTTTTGTTAAGATTCAACATAATGAGAAAGTCGAGAGAGAGTATTCATACCTAAGATGAAGAGATATGCGAAAAGGGAATCCCCTTGTCTAAGTCCTCCGTGAGGAAGATTTCCCTGGGTTAAAACCCAATAAATGTGACTTCATAGGAAACTGTAGTGTAGCATTAGGAAATAAGTTGTAGAACCTTTGATGAAAACCTAAGACACTGTAGCATGTGGGTTAAAAACGAGATTAATAATCATCTCTGACCAAATACAGAAGCTTTTATACCAGATTATAATCGTCTCATGTTATGTGAAAAAGCTTGACCTTAAATCAACCAAGCAATTTTCACTTGAAAGCTTATGAATATGTGATTCAATCTTACATCCGAGCAAAGATCACAAAAAACAAATTCGCAACAGCCACAAATGCAAACGCTGACCTTGCAGCAACTTCACCATCAGAGACAAAATCAATGGAAAAATTACATTTCCACAGCCAGATTTGCTTCTTCCTTCATCTTCCAAGAATGTTTTTTACACGCTGAATTACCAACAAAGATTCACAGCCTTCTTCATATACCAGACAAGCTCAAAAATTAAGGCTTCAAGATAAACAGACTAGGGTCCCTAACACATCATAATAGCAACCACCTGTTAGCTTGCTAGCCGAATTCTTCTAGACTTTGAACTGCAAGATAGCCATCCAACTCCTCATGAAAATCACTTCTACAATCCAGCAAACCAGAGCATATTCTTCACAAAGTAGCAACATGGTAACGAAATCACACCAGAAAAAAGAAAATAGGCAGCTCCAAGGCGGTAGAAACAATAGGTCTGCTTCTCACCATTAAAAGAAACCGAACACGGCATCATAGTACCTGCAGAACAATACAAGTTAACTGGTGAAAACATACTACCTGCAAAACCATACACATCATAAGGCCACCAAAGTCATGTGAGCATTTAAATTTAAATGTTAAACAAAAAGACTATTATAGATCACCCTTTCAGAGTGGTTTAGTTTACAGAATGTTGTACGAAAGACTCAAAAGTCATCTATTATGAATTTTTTTTTTTGGGTATCATGAAAAACTAGGATAGGTATTTAACTACCAGAAATTCTCTTAACAGAAGCTTCAAAGAGCAGTGGCCTGAAAACTTGCAGCTATTGGAGTAATGCTGAAATTTACCCTGTTAAAGGATTGCTTTTTTGAATGCTGAAATTTACTAAAAGCTCCTCAAACTGTGAAACTATACAGATGATGTGAAAGGTGAAAATAATGAAGGAAAACACTCCTGTGATCAGGGTTTCACAAGACTATCATCTTCAGTAAGGTAAAAACAAACACACCAAACACAAACACTTACAATAAGGCAATTCACCGAAGGATGAACAATATTCAGCTTCGTTATTACAAGAAGATAAGAATTGCATGCAGGAGATTCATGGGGCAAAGAAATGGTGGGAAAGTAGAAGAAAAAGAGAGATTGCACAACAAATTTCTAGTAGAAATTACTTGATGCTTAGATGATCCCTCTAAAAATCTTCCAACTTTGATGCAAGAGATATCAAGTAGAAACTACAATTGCTAACAAGTATAGTTGACAAGTATGCTTATAAATTGCTAAAAATAATAGCATTCTCTGCTGCCATTAGATTTTAATGGGAAAATAATAAACCCCGGCCCTCGATTAAAAACATACAATGACATAAAACTGCAACATAACAAACCTGGAGTTATTTCTCAAAGTTCTCAAAGTCTTCATGCATTTGTAATTTCATTTGTTTTCTGAGAGGCTTTGTGTTTTATTTGGGAAGGGAACTTTGGCAACCCAAGACAGGGCTGACTGTCATCACATTGTTCTTCAATTCCAGAACTTATAGTCAAAGTCCAGTTTTGTATTGCCCGAACAAAAAGAAAGAAGCATGTAAAAAAGTCATTAAGTTTTGGGCATTCTCCCCCTGTAAATCTTTCAAGAGACGGCAAGGCAGCTCCGATGCTTTTCAACTCTAGTAGTTCAAACAAATGCAGAGTCCTTAGATGTTTCATCGAATGCACTGTTGTTCCATCAAACTCAAACACGCATTTCAGATTATCACAAAACCTAATCTGAAGAGTCTGAAGATTCATTGGTTGTTGGGACAAGGAGAAAACAATTTCAAGTAGTGGACAACATTCTAGATACAGATGCTTAAGATTACTGAATCTCTCAACTTGCAAATTCTTGTTGCATATACTCTTCAGATTAGGGAGGTTAAGAATCTGCAGAGTCTCAAGTTTGCTTGATGCTCCAATAGCTTCCTCTTCTCTACTGAAAACACTCTCCATGCTTGTGCATCTCTCAATGCAACAGCCTCTCATTGCGCTGATTTTTTTGTACCTAATTCAGATAAGCAACTGATATTTGCATTATCGTGCAAACATATATATTGAGCATGCCTGAGAACACACTCCAGACCGAGGAAAGGACTGCAAGACCAAATTTCCAGAGACTGGCTGTGGATTTCCGAGTAACAAGGAAAACATCTGGTTCTTGTGTAGATATCTCTAAATTTGCTTTCATCTCTGTGGCTAAAGAAATCTCCATGTTCATCATGCTTTCTTGGAGGTGAAACAGAAAAATGAAATTGCTTGAAATATGTATCCCATAACATGGGATTTTCGTCCAAAAAATCAAAAAACTTGCTGCCACGAACCATTATGTGGAGATTATTTACACTCAATGGAAACACTTTTTCTGCCCCAAAGATGCCACAATCAACCCAATTTAGTTCCTCTGGAAGGTGCTTTATCCTCCTCCAATCAAGTTCTTCAGTATCCTTCAAGAGGGGAAGATGAAGGCGTTTAAGGCAAGACAACTCTGAGATCTCATAGAGAAATTCTTTTATCCCAGTACCCCAAAGATCAAGAACCTCCAAGCGACTAAGTGATTTCAAATGTTGCAGCTTCTTCAGGCCCCAACAATCTCTTAGCAAAAGCTGGCGGAGGTTGCATAAAAACTTCAGGGAAGGCAGGCATGTGACTGCTGTTTCAGAAAGATCAAGAACTTCAAGCCTTGCAAGCTTTTCCAAGCCTGATGCATCTTCCATGCCTGACCAGCCTCTCAATGACAACTGGGTTAAGTTACTTAGGAAGAAGACATCTACGTAAATGGGAGTTTTAGACAAGTTGAGAATCTGAAGGTTCCTCATAGCACTAAGTAAATCACTCAGGAAAGAATCTTTTCTAGGAAGATATCTAAAATTAGAAATATTTAGCTCCTCAAGATTTGATAGAGGCCTTATGATGGGAAAGGTAAAAATCCGAAATTCCAAAAAGTCTTGAGTATCTGAAATCGAGGCAAATGCACGAAATTAAAGTTACGATAACTATGAAATGACAAATTAGTGCCACCTGAAAGATCAATCACTTCAAGACTTTCAGCGAAAGCTAGCAACATAGTAAGGGAGGAACAACCACATAGGATAAGCTGGCGCATGTTTGGGAACTCGCTGTAATCAAAGCCTGTCAGAGAACGTGCATTAGTGAGGTCAAGTACCTCGAGCCTCGGAAGTCCTTCCATTTCTGGAAGACGCTCTAAGAATTCACAATCCCTTAAAATGATAGTACGAAGGTTAAGAAGGTGGGAGAGAGATGGTAAAGAGCATAGTTTGGTATCTGAGAGGTTTAGGCAATGAAGGCACCACAAATGTTGAAAGGATTGATCTTCAATTTCAAGTACATTAGAGGAACCAGAGACATCAAGTAATTCAAGGTCTTTACAAGATACTTGGCAGCTTCGTCAGTGCAGTACAATTTCTTAGCAAAATATGAGAAAGGTTACAAGTGATAGAAGGGAAGGCATGCAAGTCAGTTTCAGATAAATCAAGAACTTTAAGACTAGGTGAAATGCCATCATAGATCTCCTTTAAACAGATAGCACCAGAAAGATCAAGAACTTGGAGATCAGAAAGACCTTTTAGCCTTGGAAGTCTAGTTAAGGATTTACAATTTCTCATTCCAAGCAGTGTTAGCTCTTCGAGACCAGATAGAATTGGTAGGCGATCAATCTGCGAATGAGAAACATCAAGGATCCTGAGTTTTGGGAACTGAGAAAAGGTTGCCTCATAGAATCTTTCAAAACATGAAGCACCATTAAGGTCAATAACCTCAAGCTTTTTCAAGGCACTTAGTCATGGAAACATTTTCAGGTGGCTACACCCTCTCAAGATAAGCCAACATAATTCAGTTAAATTGGAAATAGAAATAGGTAACATTTCAACCCGTGCTTCAGAGAAGTTGAGCCTTTGGAGATGAAGCATTTGCTGCAATAAATCATCTGGAATTGTCGTCAATGATGTAGCACCAGATATCTCGAGAATAACTAATGATCTGAGCTCTTTTATCTGATCAATCTCCTGCAGAAACTCACAGCCCCTTAAGATAAGCATTGTAAGCTCTTGCATGTGTGAAAAAGATGCTGGTAGAGATTTGAGCATGGGATTGAAGATGCCAAGAAAATTGAGACCATTCAGACTATGAAAAAATGCATCCTGGACTTCCTTGCCTGGATAATTACCATCAAGTAATAATGTTGAGATTTTCTCTGATTTGCTCCTATGTCCAGCTGTTCTTATCACACCATCAATCAGTGCAGTGTCCCCAAATCCTTCCCATATTTTTTCCTTCAAAGTAGGAATCATTAAACAGCTCTCTGTATATATAAATCTTTGGGAATCCCTACCTGAATAATGTCCTCCATCTTCGTTCTTGCGGTAAATCACAGAATCTTTTTCATCTCTAATCCGCCAATAAGGCACTTTCATTGCACATCCTACCATTACGACACAGTTGGAGTCCACATGTCGGAGAAAGCCTAGACTTATAAGCTCCATGACAACAGAGTAACCCTTGTTAAAAGCATCCTCAACACAATCAATACGACCAAGACAACCCTCCATAATCCAATGGGCTATCAATTGAGTGAAATTAACAGGACCATTCAGGTGAATGTACTGCCAGCTGTGCCAGAAACAACGAATCAGATCATTGGTTGGCAGAATTGCATGGGCAATTCAGAGAAAGCAGGGCATAATGCTGGAAGCATCAGTAACTGTTGAATCTACTATAAACTCTCCTCTCCAATCCCGATGTTTGTGTTCTGTAATGCAATTTAGTGCTTCTGCAATAGCCTCAACTTTAGCAGGAGCACCCTCACTTTCCGTATAGATATCTTCAAATGGTAGCTTAAAATTTTGATCTCTGACTTTTGTTGCAAAAGAGTGAAGGTCTCCGAAGTAGACAAGGGTCCAATCTCCAACACCTTCACGTAAGGATCATTAGGATTTCCAGAGTAATCTATTGTGGTCACCAAGACTTTAAATGAAGGCTGCTTAAAATCAGGAACCAAGGATTCAAATTCTGATACAATTGCATCTACTATCATATCCTTAGAAACACCATCCAAGATTAGAAGACACCTCTTCTTACCAATAGCTGTTGATATTTTCTCTTTCAGATTACCTTCTGTCTGCTTCTCCTCATCTTCTGTCTGCTACTCCTCATCCTCACCGTCATCACCATCGTCACCCACATCCCACTCCTCAGTTGGCAGACATATAGGCAGGGGAGCAGCAATCTTCCCAAGAGGAGATTCCTTGTCATGTTTTCTGCTCATAGACAGCCAAAAACATAAATCAAACAAACCTTTTTGCTTTACAAGATCACGAACCTTTTTCGCAATCCATGTTTTCCCTATTCCTGGTTTCCCAACAAGACACACTTTGACATGGTCTGCGCATAGCGCGTCCAGTATGAATTGTATGCGCAAACCCAGTGTGTCCTCGTTGGCCATGGCTGACCCAGTTTTATACCAATAAATAAGAAAACAACCGTGAGAGAAGTTACGGGCTAAGATTACAGGAATCATGGTAAGAATGGTGAAAGAGGGCGTATCTAAGAAAGGTTAAAGATAAAAAGAGGGAAGTTCTAAGTTTCTATATCGAAAAACAATTCAGATCTAAAGCTGTCCGAGATAAATAAGAGAAAATTTCAAGCGTAGTATAGAACTCATAGACAATCTGAAACAGAATAATCATGAAAGAGAGTCAAGAAAAGAAAGAAAGAAGTAGAGCTTACTAAAAACCTGTAGATTTCTATTGCCTAGTCCGGTGGAAGCAGTACCAGTCGGTTGTTTGCAAATTGTAAATCAGAAGAGGATGCCGGTGGTGGAAGATGGACAACTCACAGCATTAATTATAATTTTTAAACACTGTTGACACTGTCTACTAAAATATTCAATCACATACTCTGAGATTGTAAATGATAAATAATTTATAAAAACAAATAATAAATTGTAAGCTCTGCATTCATCTCCTTCTCTTTCATCTGCTTTGACGACTTCTTGTTAAACTTCCTCAATAATGGAACATCTGTATCACTCTCATCATTAAGAGCCCTTCGTGGTTGTTTCTACAACTTCTCTTCACTCTGTTTCTCCGGCTTTCGATCATGTCGCTCTCTCTCCTCCGCATCAATCAAAACCTGCAATTTGCTACCAAAGCCTGCAAGTCAATATATATAACATCATCACTTTACTTGGACAAAACAAACTGGATTAGATCACACAGAATAAATCATTATCGTGCATGTTGAATAATGTATTAGGAAATAAACAAGTAATCAAGAATTTACATATTTCATAATTTTAGAGTTGGTAACTATTATACGATATATATATATATATATATAGTTAACCCAAAGCTAAATTTTTTTATATCTAAAAAATGTAAATCAATAATTATTATAAGTATTATTACTTTAATTCTATTTTATTTATTAAGTATATTACTATTATTTTAATTCTAGGTAATTATGATATCCTTTTAAAAATAAAATTTTATTTTAAAATATATATTATCATATTAATTTTATATTAAAAATATTTTTAAGAATTAAAAATTTTAGATGTGGTAATTCTTAAACATTTTTTCAACAAATGAAATATATATTATGAATTTTAAATATTATATTGGCTATGAATTCAACTTGATTTGTCTAAAGTAAGGGCCTATCGAAGAAGATGATGGGTCAAGAAATTTTTATAATTCAGTTCGCGGATCTTTATAAAATAGATTAGATTTAAACTAAACTAAAATTGTTTATGAAACGAGAGATTATCAAGAAGACGAAGAGGCCCCATCGGAGTTAACCCTTCCCTCAACAGCACATAATCCATGCATATAAGAACACAAGCAAACCCTAATGACCGTCATTTTTACACGAGTCAGATGATACCCAACTCTAGTAGGTAAATAATAATACTACCACCAATATTGGGTTTATGTATTGAAATCATACTTAATATTTCATTACTTCTGGCTCTCTGAAACTTAAAAGTACTTTATATATATAATACTAGTTAGTTAAATATTCCAATTAATTAAACTCATCTAGTAGTTTTTCTATCCTACTCCAATCATTTTTTTTTATGATAACGAATAGAAAATCAAAATAAGTCAACTATATGATCTACCATAAAAATCATTGATTTCAATACCTCATAAATCAATGACTTCTAACCGAGTAAACGAATATAAATTAAACAATTCATTTAAACTCTTACTATCTCTTAGTAGCAATTGGTTGATTAAGTAATTTTATGATAATTTTCGTTATCTTCGATGCAGCAATGAGCTGCTCTCATCACATTTTCTGTCATATAAAATTTTTAATTTTCACACATTTGAGCAAACCAAAATCTATAAGTTGCATAACAACATAATCACATTTATTAAAAATCTTCTAAATATAATCAACATGATCAAAATAAAGTTCGATTATCAAATAAATTATCCACTTAGTGAAATTGATAAGGATAATATTTTTATTTTAGTAGAATTTTAGTAGATTTTTACATTTTCTTTGTTCATAATCACAACTTGTTGAAGAAATTCAAGAGAATAATTTTTAATATTTGATGAATTTGGTGAAGCCAAGCTATGAATGATAGACTAGAATACATATATATATATATATATATATATATACATAGATATTAAAGCATAAAAGGCATAGTAGGAGAAAATTCAAGTATGAAGGATGCCATTATTAAAACACTTCAAAATCTATAGCTATTAAACATAGGAATCAATAAACGAAAAAGTGCTGCTATATATATGTGTGTGTGTGTATATATATACGTATATATATATAGATTGTCCAGCTAAAGCTCAGAAATTATTCTGAATAATGTTCATATATTGTTTTGTGGATCCTGTCGGTTTTCTGGTAAGTAAATTGAGATTTTAGTTCTCAATGAGATCAAACAGTGTCGCTTTCATAGCTCAGTTGGTTACAGCACCCGTTTAGTAAGCGGGAGGTCTTGAGTTCGACTCTCAATGAAAGCACCACATCATTTATTGTAAAACATTTTTAATCTTTCCTGGAAAAGGAAGCGAAGTTGCAATAACCTTTGTCTTTAGAGGACCACTTTACTGGGCAGAAAATCACAAACTTTTTTAATTTGTAAGCACAGATGTTCACATACCTCATAGTATATACACACACATACATACAGTGCATACATATATATATATATATATGTATATCCTTTGGCACCCACAAAAGTAAACAATATAATATCTTTCAAACATGGTTCAGTGCAGAAGAAAAAGAACCAAACTCTCAGCATACTAACTCTCAATCTGATTCTGGTTTCCTAAACAAGATTTGCTAATAAATCTCATCCATAAAAAGGCTTATCCAAACATCATTCTCAACCTCATCATTATAGAAGTCACTATTCAAAACACACAAAGAGTAGTCTACATATGTTGCCCAGTACTCCTCATCGTATAATATTATTTCTTCTTCCAGCATGGTCAGTTTTCTTTCCTCAACAAGGTCAGATATGGGTTGACAGGGTGACATTTGAATCACAGTGGAGCTTTCTGAATTTGATGGCTCTGGAGAAATGATAAGTTCTTGAGTCTCGGTTGAATTCTCTTTTGTTTTCGTAAATATTAAAACTTCTTGTGATGGTTTTTTATTGATGTCGTTCTTCCTGCGCTTTTTGAGATGAGTGTGCCAGTAGTTTTTGATATCGTTGTCTGTTCTTCCCGGTAATTTTGTTGCGATTGTTGACCATCTTAATATTACGAAAGAATGAAATGTTAAGTTATGAATTAAATTTTAAGATCGAATAATTATTAAGTTTACTTCAAAAAATATACATAGATAATTAAGTATACGTATATGTAAACACTAATAAATTAGTATGTCTAGTTGTTTTTTCTTTCATTGTTTTACTAATAAAGTTACGTAGAAATAAGTAAATATATTTCAAATACTATTGGTACATATTTTATGGAAATGCAGAAGTAGTATTCATTCAAAACATAGATATGATGCAGAAAGTATATGTACAGAGAAGCATACATGTGTGTGTGTGTGTGTATAGATTTCTGAGCTATTTATAAGTGCTGAAAAATGTTCTGGTACTGTCTCCAAAATAGATAAAGAAAAAAAAAAGATTGATCATGAAGAAACCAAGATAAATCCTAGCATTTCTTGGAGTATTGAAATTACCTGTTCCTATATAGAAGTGTAAGTGTGTGTGTGTGTGTGTGTGCGCAATAAGATGATATATAGAGATATTCAATTGACAACTGTAGTTAAAATGAAGAAGTTGAACAGATAAATTACCGGTTTCCAAGCTTGTTATGTAAAGCAATTATGGTTTCCTCTTCTTCCTTGCTGAATTTTCCACGCTTAATATTCGGCCTCAGATAGTTCATCCAACGAAGTCTGCAACTCTTTCCAGACCTCGACAGACCTACCATATATACATAATCAAACCCATTATACAACGTACATATATAGTGCAAGCAAACAAATACATACACATATACATATACATATGCGTAATTAATTGTATTGATCATTTGAAATACCTGCAGGTTTTGGCATCTTACTCCAGTTCCAAATTCCATATCTCCTGATATAAGCTACCAACTTCTCGTCTTCTTCGGGACTCCATGCACCTTTATTCAGAGATATACAACGTCTGAGCTTACTTGAGCTTTCACCACCTCCTTCCATGATTAATTTTCTTTGTAGTAATATTGATCGACCTAATTATTCACCGATCATGATGATCAGCTTCAACTTCACAAGTATGTATACATATATATATATATATATATATGCACGTACACAGACACAAACAAGAACAGGACTTTAATTGTTGTATACTTACCCTGTGTGCATTCAAATATCCTGTGGAAAACTTTAACAAGATTTTCCCATCGTTTTCAACGTGAAGAGAATAAATTATTTTTCTGGGAGGAAGCAATCTTTGAAAGTTCTGCAAAAAATTTTAAAAAAAAAATTGTCATCTTTTTTTAGAGTTGACGTTATGATGACTTCCTTTTAACATAAATATATACATATACATATATATATATATATATACATATAGATGTGTGTATTTAAGTGATTATCTGATCAGTATATAAGAGCTAATATTTTTACCCAAAATTTGTATTTCTCTTCATCTATAAAAATTATTGTTAATTTAAATTAAATTGTCACTATTTTTTTTATACAATTATGTTATAATTGATATATACATATGTATATATATTTTTATTCAATAAATAAAATATATAAAGTATCAATATATATTAATTAAATGCCCAAACCAATCAATATTAATTGTAAAATGTATATTAAAAATTAATCTAAGTAATCATATAGTGGGGCGGCATTATTGTGTATATATATATATATATATATATTAATAAAAAGATATTATCCCATGACACCTGCCCCATTAATTATAATCCTATAAATATAGCCAAATTTTTGTATTGCATACGTATGTGAATAGAATAAAATTGTTTTCTATTTCAAACGATATTAAATTACTGAAATTAAGTGAGAAGAATTATTGTCTTCAAATTACTTATAAATTAACTAATTAAATTAGCAATTATCACTATAAATAAAAACAATATTATATATATATATAGAATAAGATGAAGGTTTGGTCAAATTATAGAATGTAAATGCACGCATAGATGTCTTTAATTAAAATTTCATATTTTTCTTATATAATAATAATGTTTATGAAAGTGATTTGGGAAAGATTAATTTAAAATGAGAGTATTAATATTTAATTATGATGTTTAAATGACGTCTCCTTAGTGAGCTTCGCAAGGTAGCCGGTGATGAATTAATTTTTTTTAAAAAAAAGAAATTATTAAAAAATCTATTAATTTAATAATTTAGCATTAAGAATTTTAAATATTAATGGAAGAAAATGACATACGGTATACCAACTTTGAATTCGTTTTTTTTTTTTGGAAAAAAAAAATAAGTAGCTAAAAAATTTATTTATACGAACAAAAAATAAAAGTCGTGCAAAAGAAGTGAAACCGAAAAATCTAAGAGGTTTCAAAATACAATATTATCTATTTGAATTGTGAAAAGATCGCTATATATGAGCATAAGCTACTTTATTATAATCTCGAGAGATTTAAAAAATAATATAACCTTAAAAAAAATATTAGAAATTATTTTATATATCGTTTATCATATTCTTTCTATGAGTTAATCTTGTATATAATTTTAGTGGTAAGAAATGAGTCTTATTTTATTGTTTGTATAAGAATAAGTAACGAAAATTTTTCTAAAATCGGGATAAATTTAGTTAGAAAAAAAAATTATACCTCAATTATATTAAGTTATTGAGAAAATATCTTCTCAATAAATCTTAAGATACAATAAAATTAATATTTAAGTAATAAGACTAATTACATACATATATTTATCTCTTCGATAATAATTATAAATTTAAAACGAATTATATTACCTTATGACATTCTAGTTCAAAACAATCATTTTTTAAATCTAAATTTTTATTTTTTATTTAAAAATTTAGCTCAACTTATTAATAATATATGATTCGAACCGCATATGAAACTCAATAATCATTTTTTTTTTTAATGTAGAGTCAACTTATATTAAATATATATATATATATATATATATATTGGAGTTACGTACCATTAATACCTTGGACTTAAAATGATATTTGGGTTTTGAAAGCATTACAAATAATATGCAAGGTTCAAGTTACAATTATGATACACCTATATATATATATATATATATTAAAATATAAATCTTTTATATTATTATGGTAGAAGTTTCTACAAAGTAGAAGTAGATGGTCAGAAAAATAATACCCAAAAAATAAAATAAAATATTAATTAGAGGACTAGATTGAAGATGAGTATCACATGGTTGATTAAATTAATTTAATAAAATATTTGAAAAGAAAATAACAAAGCATAGTCAAAAGTCATAGCCTCGTGCCACTTTTACTTTGATTAGTTGCATAAACTTTATTCATCAAAAAGAAATTTGTCTTCTTTACACACTTGTGGAACCAAAAGATAAAACTTTAAGAAATCGTCGGTGTGAATTTAATTACTAACAAATTTTACTTGTGTAAAGAACCTAAATTTTAACATAGATTTGTATTCTACGTGTTATGTGGTATTTCTCTACATCTATAAAATTTTATAACGAAAGTTTGATTTTTATCTAACATACGAATAATTATATATTACGTCATATATAAGAGTTAAATTTTTTTATCGTGTTTTAAAATCTATTAATTAAGGAACAAGATCAAGTAATCAGTTTCTATGGAGCATAAGTATGTAAGGGTTTTCTAAGATTTGATAGAAATTGGTTCTCTGAGTTCAAAGGTAAAAATTGAACCTGACTGCAAGATTCACTAGTTGAACAATAACAAAAAGATTTTTAAAGGGGAAAATAGACAGGTAAATGATTATGTTTTTCAAACCCTTTAATTTCTTTTGTCAAGATCCTACACAAACAGACCAAACTTGTCAGAATACACATTCGGTTCCAAAGATGCAGGAATCAATTTAGCGGACTTGAAGCTTGAAGAGAATAGGAAAGTTGACTGGTGAGGCCCGTGAAAGAGTCTAGTCAAAATACTGCAGATACAGGAAGCAGCTTCGTGATTGGTAAACGTGTAGTTGGAAATCTCCAGTTCCACTGTCAAGAATCAAATAACATCATGGAATACAGTTTCTCTCTTATCAAGAATCACCAATATCTTCCCAAATTCAAAGGGTTAGAAATTGGTATCTCGTCCGCAGTTCACGTCCAGCCATCCAGGCAGGATACACTCCGTTGGCAGCGTAAAAACTGCAATTAACTTCAAATCTGTTGGAGACTGAATCCATCCTTTCAGTGGATAAATTACTTGAAGGGTAAGTCCGGCTCTTGATATCAAGGTGGATCCCTACTGTTTCAATTCTTTTGCGCATCAGACGGAACAGGAGTTGTGATTGAGACAAGAGGAGGCGGGTGTAGCTCGAGAAAGTTTTTGTTCCCTTCACTATAGCCACCGATGCATAGTGTATCCCCTCGACCATGCCAAGTTCCATCCTGGACATTGTTCATTTCCAGAGTTCTGGACTCCTGTTTCATATTTGAAGAATACAAACCATCAAATTTTCTAAAACATGGTTAAAATACTTAGTGACCAAATGAGATTCAAGTCATAATATTTGATTGATTCAAGTCATAGCTGAAGAGTCCCTGTTTCAAGGGTCAACAAAACAAATCTGCTGAGGATACAAGTTTAGCACCTGGCATAATGCGCACATGGGACAGATAAGATGGTAGATGCAGTCGTCCAAGAAACTATCATTGCCCTGAAAACAATCAAACATCCAAAATCTGTCAACGAAAGCAATCAATCGGAACCAGAAACAGCCAACTAATGCCAAATACAAGAAAGATGCCACACATACAGATACTAATTCATATACTCGACAAAATATGATATTATACATGTGCATGACTTATATTTTTCTGTGTCAATCACTAGGAATTGCTCAATGGCTGGTAACTTTGCATATATCGAACTTATCCCGAGGAAAAGTGAAACGTAGGCCTGAAAGGCTAGAAGAAATCTTGACACAGAAGTAACTCAAAACTTCCAGGATTTTATGGAACAAAGACAGACCATATCCAACTTTGGAGAATAAGGGCAACCAAAAACAACCCGGGGAAATTGAGAAAGAAAGTTATTTTTCCTATTAAAATAAATGTCATAGCTTCCTTATTCCTAAATTAACTAATACTGAACGGTTTGTGAGAAAAAAAAAAAGGGACTTTCATAAATGCAATAAAGTTCATAGTAAACGGTTATTAAGGCAAAGAAGAATAGACTTGATAGATTCAGTCTCCATTCTTGCTCAAATACCCTACTAAAAAGCTAGAGTATATAGCATTATTTGCATCGTCATAAATGTCCCCACCAAAAAGATTACCAAACTAAGAAACTGTACACAAAATCAATTAAAGCATCAAGCTTCCACAGAATTTTGATGGAGCTGCCCTCTAGAAGTATGATAAGTTATTTTATATTACAGGTGGATATTGATGTGATATCCCATTCTAAAACTATATATAAACTCATAAATTACTACAAAAATTAACGAACACCTTAGTTTTTTCCTCTAGTAACCATGAAAACGGATACCGTGACAGTATATTACCTGTTAAACAAAATAATTTCTCCTAGAACCACATGAGCTGCTCTCAAATTAATGTACAAGGAGATATTGCAGATTATTGGATAAAAAATTAATAGAAAAACATAAAATGTTTAGAAGACTAGAAATTAGGAAGATAAATAATCAGTTCTTACTATATATACCTGATATTAGGATCCTTATACAAAATTAAACCTGCAAAACAACTATTAAAATCAAACCAAAAGATGTATTAAGATTCTCACCCTTATATTAAATTTCCTTCTTATTTGTGCGCGGAAGAAACCCAAATATATTCCCACTGAAATGGTGAAAGCAAGTGCAAAATACAGAAAGCAATGGCGCTTGGTGACAATATAGGCAATGAAATTGACAAGAGCAGTAACAACGAGGATGAAATAAACGATTCCCTGCAAAATTACATTTCATGTATATCAAAAATACTTGAGTTGCCAAAGGAACAAAATTTAGATTTGGTAGTAGAATTAACAGAGAATGTTTGTAAATGAATAACATAACACTATTCAAGTAGCTTGATTCTTACTCTCCGAAAAAAGTAGCTAGATTCTTAAGAAGCATAACTTTATATTTGATTTCCATAAACGCCATGATGGTTTTAAGAATTATAAACTAATTTTACCTGAATAAAACAAGGACCAAAACCGGCCCGTCTCATGTTTTTCCCAAATCTGTACCATGGGCAACTGCAAGATCAAATACAATATTATTCATAAAGCATCATAATATTACAATCATAGAAACCAATAGTATCAATTCCCCCCCAACAGGGGGCTAAAACTGCAGGCAAAGCATGGAATACCTAAATACCCAGAAGAAAAAGGTCAATGCTTCAGGTGGCATCAAAGTCAAACTTCCCTGACCTGAAATTATTTGGCAAAAAATCTACCAAGGGAAAAAATTGCTTTCTCCTAATTACACTCAATCATAAGACTTTGAAAAGAGAACAATAAGGAAAATTTTGAAACAAAAAGGAAAATAAAAACTCAACATTAACCCGCACGTTTATTTCAGATGAAAATCGAAGTAAAAAAGACGAATAAAGAAAAAAGCTATCATATCCAATCTACCATCCTTTTAGCTCCTACCTAAAACTAAGCCCCCAAAAAATCTCAAGAAAAGGTAAAAAAATTTCTGCCGAAACAAACAACATCAGAAAAATCCGGAATTCACGAAAAACACGCCTAAATTTTTTTCTTCAAAAAAAGATTCTCATGCGTAAGGGTTTCTTCACACCATAGCATAGCTTGTCTATAGTTTTCTCCTAGAAACAAAAAAAATTTCCTGCGAAACAAACAGGGGGGCTGGGAAGACCAAAGAACTCACCAAGCGGATTCAATAGCGATACGACGGTCCTCGCAACAATCAAGAACCTCACCTTCCCACATCCTCAAAACCCCACCTAAATCTCCTCCTTTCTCATCATCTCCCGCATCGACGCTCTCCAGTCTCGTCCACTTTCCTTGCGTCTGCAACGCCACAGTCGAACACAACATATCGAAATCCAAAACCGCCATCCCCTCAATCAGCTCCTCCTCCTCCTGCCCTCCTCCACCTACCCCGCCCTTCTCTCGCTTTTCCAAATCCTCCATTGACACCGTTTTCCTTCCCTTTCCTTCTCTCTGTCTTTTGCTTTTCCGTGACCTCCTTGATCTTCCGTGTGTGTTCGTATTCTTGGAAAGGATGCTTTTTTTTTTTTTGCTTTCCTTTAATTAACAATTTTCTGTTTTTTAAAGGTTTTAAATTTTAAGTGGGAATGAAAATAGTTGGGGGGTGGAAGGTTTAAGTGGCGGGTAATTATTATGTGTGGGTCCCAGTGGAGCCCCATTATTGACGGTACAGCTGTTGCCACCTAGGATCAAGATTATCCTATTTTGCATATTTATATATATACATATAAAATATTATCTTATCAATTAACTAATTTAATTAATCATTGAATCATAATCAATCAAAATAGGATTAGTAATAATCATTTTTTAATTATTTTGGCCAATTATTATTATTATTATTATTATCTTTTTTTATATTTTCATGATTATATGAGAGAGCACTTTTTCTACAGTGATTAAATCAAATAATTAAGAGTAAATCTTTTTAAATTATAATTTGATTATCCATTTAATATTATTATTTGAACTAATTATGGGGTTTGCTTTGTTTAAAAATGGTTTATATAAATATAAAAATATGAGAGGAAAATGGATAAGGAAGAAATTGGGAAATCATGTGCAGTCAGCCAACCTCTGAGCTGTCCAATAAAGATTGTAAAAGCCTTCTTAGTACTTTAGCCCATTAATTGAAAATCTTAATATCAAGTAATATTAGGGTTCTTGAGTTTTTTTTTTTTTTTTTATTAAATATATTTTCTGGGTCCACATAATTTTGTCAACTTACTATTTGAAATATAAAATCTAGATTTTTCAAATAAATTATTGAAGTGTTTAAAGAATATGAACTTACTATTTGTATTCATTTATTTATATTTTAATTTTACTTTTTTTAAATATATATATATATATAATTAGCAGACACTGATACAGACACTGGACATGATATGACCATGATAAAATGCTGCAAAACTTGTTTATTGCAAAATAATCAATGA